TTGTATTTTAATAACATATTGTAGGGACGGAAGCTCTCAGTATGGTGAGCTGGGAGAACACCAGTGGAACGCATGTCCCAGCCTTCCAAATTCTCCCCATCCTTTGGAAGTGGCCAAGCACCCCCTTTTCATGGTCTGGAAACGGGACAAGAGGGAATTATTCTGATTCAGTCCCAGAGTAACATTTCAAAAAGGGGGTGCCAATCATCTCCCCCAAAGTGAAAACAGTGAGCAAAGGAGGGTTTTCCAGAGACAAGCAAGGGAAAGAAAAGGTAGCATGTATGATGGTGCCAGGTGTCTATTGTACCAGAAGCAAACGACAAGTGCCAATACTTTTCATGCAGACAAGTAGCAGATGTCCTGAAGCAGGAGAAGCAAAACTAATCTGCTTCAAGCAGGGAGCAACTCTGATCCAGGGGTTCAGGAGCTTCCTCGGAAATGTTTTGTTTTCTTGCCTTGTAGATGCACTCCATAAAGCGGCACTTTCCTCTAAGCTCACCACTGGCTAGTGGGAATGTGTTTTCTGAAATAAGAGAGGTTCAGAGTGTGTGTGTGTGCTCTAGATGGATCCCCCCCCCCTTTATTTCAGTTCCCATGATCCAACTTTAGAAAATAACGAGAGCTTGCAATAATTGCACTGACATTTGGTTCATTGAAATGGCTAGGTGTTTCACTCCACAGCTCTGCAAAGAAGTGTTGTCAAGGGACAGATATCGTGCCAACTTTTACAACATCCATTGTTGTTGTAGAGAATATTCTCACTCTCTCTCCAGAATTCTGAACTTTGCTGGGTGCCAATCACTGTACTTAGTTATGCAAAAAATGCGGGGGGGAGAATAATCTTTTATTTAAAAATGCCATTCTAATTTTCTTCTGCTGGAATCCAGAACATTTGAATAAATATTAAGTACTCAGAAGGTTAACCATCTGGAACAGCAAAGCCAGAAAACTTTATATACGTGCGATTTCATTATCTATTGCCTGTCTGTAAGGAAAAAAGGGGGGACGAATGAAGAGAGCAGGGAAAGACCGTGTCAGTGCGTATCTGTGTCCATGTCCTGCCATGATAACTGTTTTTATGCTCCATTGACAGCATCCTGTCAGCATGGAAAGGTTCTTCAAGTGAAATTAATTTTTAAGGGAAAAATGGAAAAAGAATAGCTCTGTTACTAAGGAAACTGAGCTATGGGGAGCTCACATTTTTGGAATCTGGGATTATTTCCTAGCATGTGAAGTTATACCACTGCATGCTAAACTGTCCAGCAGTCTTGCTTCGTTTTTCCATTTAATCCAGTCAAAGAACATTTGACTGAATGGGAAGAGATTATTTCATTGTGTACTAGCAGCATCCACTGCATCCAGAAAGCGCCCTTCCATTCCCAGCATGCCCTAGCCAGCATGGCAGCTGAAGGCATGCTGGGAATAGCAGGGTTTTGTTGGTCTTACTCCTGCAAGAACTGCACTTTTAGCTGACCAGACAATTGCTTAATTGATTCAAAGGCATACCTTAGTCCAACTGATAATCAGGGGGAGGCAGTTTTAATTAAGTAAATAAAAGTCATTCCGGATGAGCTGAAAGAAGCATTCTTCCATGTGCAAGAAGAATGGATGATGCCTCTTTTAAGATGATGCCTGCAGCTTTCCTTCTTTATTATGAATCTCGTCTCACATGGAAGCATTTGCAGATCGGATCGACGATGAAGACTTGTACAATTAAGACCCTGGGGTGTCTTCATCTGGTCAAATGTGCTCAGGCGTCTCTGGTATTTACATAGACACAACCGGTATTGTCCAGGATCCTCCTCCCCAGTGCCCTCCATTGGTGCTGGACTGCAGCATCTACCAATTTGCCATGCTGGATGGGAATAATCAGTGTGGCTTGAGAATTACAAATTGGGCAAGGCTGTTAGCACAGAAGGCTCGGCAGAGGGATCTAGACTGACAGAGGGCTGGCGACAGTCCCTCCCTCGACCCACTGGAATAGCTTTTGTCCTGATGGTGATATGCTGCCTCCGGAACCAGATGCCACATTTTTTCCACACCGTGCGTAGCTCAGTGGTGGAGCTCATGGCCACAGGATGTTGTGGTGGCCCATGTGGAGAGCTTCTAACTTTGGGCACATTCTTGGAGGAGAAGGCCATCCATGGCAGCTGGTCCTGGCAGCTCTATGCAGCCTCCAGGATCAGAGGTGGCCTGCCTATGCACACCAGCCATGGAGGAACTGGCCAGGGACAGGCTGTTGTGCTCGCGACCTGCCTGAAGCTCCCCTGGCTGGTTGTTGTGCAAAGAACACTGGACTGGAAGGACCTCTGGTCTGATCTTGCAGGGCTGTTCAAGTGTTCTGGAGTGATCTCACACCCATGGCCGGAAACCAGCATTCTGCAAGGCCTCGTTCATGGTCGGGCAGGAACTACTCAGTGCTGACACCTGCCTGAGCTCCTCACCACTAGGAAACTGGCCCTAAAAGCCTCCGTGTCAGTTTCAGACTGATACCACATTGGGTGCTTCAGGCACTGCAGGACGCGAGGAGGCGGCTTTCGTGCATACGGGGTGCATGCAGCCACCTTGGGGCGCTGCTGCCACTGCTGGGGTACCTGGGGTGGGGGTGGTGGCCATCCATCCAAGAGGCAGCTCCCCAGCAGCCCTGACTGCATGCGCACCGTTATGTTGCTGCCGGCAGGACAAGTCGGCCGGCCTCCCCATTACTGCCCCTGACGATCTAATGGCATTTGCGACGGTGTCACAATTGCCAGAAGAGCAGTTAATTATTACTGTCATCATCAAATATGTTCAATTTATGAGCCGTCCTAAAGTCCAGACTCTCAGAGTAACATGAATAATAAAAGCCAATATAAGGAGAACTGTGATAAAAGGCAGTTTTAACAACAGAAAGAAGTTTAAAGAATCTAAAAGTCGCAACAGTCACTTAAAATGGTTTTTAAAGGGAGAGTGAAACATGGAAAAAAGATCATTTTAAAATGCAGTGCTATTTTGTGAAAAATAACAAGCAACAGCAGGTTAAACAGAATGAGTAGCTGCAGGGCCTTGGGGTTCTCATACAGCAGGGGTGCGGAACCTCTTTAGTCTGGACTAAAGGCTGGACTGGTCTCAGGAGCTGCACTGGAATTGGCCCTCAGACCTGAAGCCTTCTATCCCTGCCTTACGGGATGGTGTGGTGTGGACAGGTTGGAATTACGGGTTCTCTCCTTGTGAAGGCTGCCCTTTCCAAGAGCATCATCTGCCACACTTCTTTGGCCAACCCCGGGAAAATGGTTTAGCCACTCTCTCCCCCCTTCCCCACCTCTCTCTTGGTCTCTCTGTGACTGGCTTGTGCCCATTTCCTCTCTGAAGCTGCTCTTCAAGCGGCAGAGACTGGAAGGGCTTTCCCACCCAAGTCAACAGGGAGCAAGACACCTACTATCCAAAGCGCCGAGGTCTCTCTGGGACAACGATGCTGTCGCCATAATTTAAACCTGATCCAACACATTTGGAAAAGCACTCATTTTTTCTTAAGGGATGGCTTGTGAACCCCACTGACAACACAGGTTTACACCAGGTGGTGTAGATTTTGAATATTATGGGTGAACAACTAGAATTAAGGTAAAAAACCCTGAAAATAGAATATGAGAGAACTTGAGGCTGGACCATGTTCAAATGGAAGGGGGAAGCTTTACAAGCAAGGTGATTGCTTTTTTTGGTTTGGAGGTTTTTCATTTATGGTTTATGCCAGGATAGGCTACGTGATGTGCTCCAGGTATGTTTGACTACAGTGCCTATAATCCCATGACCACTGTGCTTACAGGCTGTGGTTGATGGGAGGTGCAACACAATAATGCAAAGTTTGCTAGGGAGTGAGAATGAGGGAAAAGAGTGTGAGCAGAGCGAAGGGGTGAGCTATGCCTTATTGGGATCTCAGGCAAAAAGTCACACTAGGAGCTCTCCGCGGTTCTGAAATTCTGGCCTTAGCTGCTTACTACTAGACTGCATCGCCTAAACCAGGGGTGGCGAACCTATTGCTTGTGGGCCCCAGCGGGCACGCAGAGCCCTCTCTGTTGGCACATGAGCTAAATGGCTCCAGTTTCGCCCCAGCAGCCGAGCATTGGAGAACAGCATATGTAAGGGGCCATGCGCATGCTTGGAAAGGAGCAGTGGTGCCCGGCGATGATGCCACAAGCTGCGACACGTTCGCCATGACTCATCCGAGCTTTCGCATGGCTGGTCAGTGCGCTGCCAAGGATAGATATATATTAGCTTGGACTGGCTGTGAGTTGTTTTTTCTAAACTAAAACCTCAGTTTTCAGGTTGTATTGTAATGTTGGCACTTTGCGATAAAGAAGTGGGTTTTGGGTTGCAGTTTGGGCACTCGGCCTCTCAAAGGTTCGCCATCACTGGCCTAAACTATTAGGTAGGGATACTCCTCTAGAAACATTTGTCACAACTTTGGAACTGCCACGGTTGCTTCCAATGGCATCTGCAATTTGCATCCATTCAATGAACCAATGAACACATGAAGTGGAAAAAATAGCTCCGTGGATTTTTTTTTTTTTTTTTGAGAACTATCTGCGCCATTTGACTGCCTTTGCCCAACAGCAATTTTATGACCTAAGAATGGCCATGGAGAAAATCGATGCATTCAAAACATGATGCTGGAGGTGCGCTTTGCAAATACCCTGGACCATATGAAAGACCAACAAGAGGGTCCTAGATCAAATCAAGTCTGAGCTTCCCCTAGAAGCAAACATGATAAAACCGAGGTTGTTGTACTTTGGACACATTATGGGAAGGCAAGCCCTGGAGAGGACAATCACATTAGGAAAAGTTGAGGGCAGAAGACGAAAGGGAACACTGAATATGAAATGGATGGACTCCATACAGGAAGCCACAATGGAGCTGTCATGGGCAGGACACTCTGCAGAGTTTTCATTCATAGGATCACCATAGGTCAAAGACAACTTGATGGCACATGACAATAACAAGAAAGAAGCACAAACTAAGAGTACCTGCTTTGTGGAATTTTTCCAACAGTTCGTGTCGAATGGACTCTTCCAGGTTGAAGTAGTCATGGTCTTCATTGGGGTCTTTGAGAAACAGGGGGATATGCTGAAACACGATGACATGCTTGCACTTCCTCTCTGTGGCGATGGCAAGCTGGTGGCTAAGCCAAGCATCCTGAGCGGTCTTCAGTTCCGGGCATTTGGAAGCATCGAAGTAAAGCTGAGAGTTCAACACGAGGAAGAAGATGCCTCCAACCCAAAAGCTGAAGTAATCATCCCCCCACTCCTGGCAAAAATGCTCAATTGTCTCTGGGGTTGGTGTGTTCCCAAGGTCATGATTGCCACTGACAAAAACCAGGGGGATGTCATGATGCACACCACTCAGGGCGTCCTTCAGGTCGCGGGTCTGTGCCTCTCGCCATGGTGTCCCTACAAGATAAGAAGGAGTAGGTGTTATTTTTCGCAGAACTTTCAGAGGCTTTGGTTCCCTGGAAAGTTTTGGACACCTTCCATTCTCATTGTTCACTGAAACAGGGATGATAAAACTGGAACAACCAACTACAATTATTCTGAGTGTTACAATACGAGGAGCTGTCAAAAGCTGAGCAAAGAAGGACGATGATGTCTCTCTGAACTGGCAAGGGGATTTCCTGGGACAAGGCATCTGGACTTGGGGTGGTTCCTGTGAGGTGGACTGCAATGGGGGTCTGGGTGTCAAAAAAGTTCTCCCATGCCTCTAGAAGCTGCCCATCCCTGACCCAGTGCAAACCCATTCTTCCATATTTGGTACAAGCCGGGCATTTGCATATGAAGCCAATTCATTGTTGGCTCCAGAGAATTTCTAAGCTGGGTAGAGATGCACTGAATTGTAGCTCGCATTCTGGTAGTCCCAGGCTGGTGGGCACCCTCCAGCCACCCCCCCTGCATGGATGCCTTCAAGGAATCAGTAGAGGACAGGAGGGAGGGATCATGGCACGGCCAAGGGTCCTCCGTGCTTCCCTGCTCTCTTGTCACGCTTCGGCATCTGGGGAATAATCCCGTATTCCCAGTACTGACAGCCTTCCAGATGCTTCACACTTCACCTCCCAGCAGCTCCCACCAGGGATTCTGGGAGCCACAGTCCCAGACATAGGGAAGATGCCATGTTGGGGAATGCTGGTCAATTTGAGGGTGCAATCTGATTGGGCCCTGAATGCTCCAAAGCCCCTGAACTCCTTGAGGCACCCCGATCATCCAGTGGAGTGCAGGGGGCAGCACAGTTCATCTCTGCTTCGTGCCATTTCCCACGAGATGGGTACTTTTGGACACTGGGCAGCAGAAATTCAGAGAGGGAGGGAAGGCGCCTGGAAGGCGCTCAGCACAGCTCATGTCCTGCCCTCTCCAGTGTCTTCCCCTCCCACTGGAACACCACCTTTGACCCTTTCTGGGCTCGCCTCCCCAACCTTGGGGGCAGCCAGCACGAATCTCAGGGCTGGCTGCAAGGGGGTGCTGGAGGGGCAGGATGCACTGCCCACTTGCCCTTCCAGGGTAAGAGGAACCACCGGCACCTTGCAGCTGCCCCAACAATGCCGAAGGGCCATGGGGTTGCTCCCCAGGCCTAACCCTCTGAACTGGCATGTCCCTCCATCAACATTTCCCTCTCTCAGCTATTTTTATGCTCACATGGCATTGAAGCAGAGACCTGTCCACCCTGCTCTTTGCCAAGCACTGTGCATGTACAGGAACCGCCATCGAACGGCTGGCAAATGCCGGGGAGGAATTAGCCGGCCCCACATTGCACCATGGCGCAACGCCCGGTTGCGGGAACTGGTGTGCGTTTGCTCAAGTTGGCCACAGCCAGCGGCCGCACGGAAGCGCTGGCAGAGGATGCCTGCAGAAGGGCTAATCCCTTTGCTAATAATCCGCTCGTTCGCTGACCTTGGACGAGCACGCCGTGGAGGACACGGGGCGAGACCGAGGACCCATTTATAATGCATTAGCTGCAGTTCCCTCCTGCAGCTCCGGCTCTCTCTGCAGGTTCAGGTATGTACGAGGTGTTTTAATAACGAGCAACCCATCATGAATAGACAAATATGCTCTCATCCCCGGAAAAAAATAAAAATACACACCCCGAACCCAGCACCTACTTCTTGCAGGCTTTTATGAGAGAGGAAAGACACACTGCTGTGCAAAATTCCCCAACCTGGAGGATGCCTTCTGGCCGCTATAGACTACAACTTCCATCATCCCTTGGCAGCACAACCAATGGCCACTCCAGATGGTTTGGACTACAGCTCCTCAAACCCTGAGCATTGCTTGGAGTCACAGTTGAAGACTTCAGAAGGACATGAACTTGCTACCCTCTGCTCTAACTACTAGGCAACAGTGTCTTGTGGGGGCAGAGCTAAGCTTCACATGACGAAACTCCCAGCATCCCCCTTGGAGCAGCCATTCCAGAGGCCCAGAATGTGTCCACTGCCTCCTGCCGGGCAGTTCTGCCTTTGTTTTGCCTTTGGACTAGTTCTCACTGTGATTATTTCTCTGTGCTTTGGCTGCACCACTTCATACTGCAGGAGCAGGTGAGCTGGTCACCTGATTCACCTGGAAGGAAATCTTGCATCCGGGCAATTGATTAAGGTTAGCAAAAATGGCGATGTCACCCATTTTCTATTTAATGAATGACATGATCTAGTGAGAAGAGACTTGAAAGGAGAGGAGCTATTCCAAAAAAAGAGGAGCAGGAACAAAACTGGGAATAAAATAACTTTATTACATGCAAGGATTTTTAATTATTTCAAATCAAACATTTTGATGGCCTACTTACAGGGATTTTGAACGGTTGCCGTTTGGGGAAGAGACAGGAAGAAAAAAAGCTGCTTTATTCTAGGGATGAATAGATTTTGCTAAACCCAGTCTGCCTGTGTTTTGAAGAGCATCAGGCATCTTGTGTTCTGTTGTCCACTCACTGACAGAATCAAGAGTTGCTTTTTTAAAAATCAGAATTTGCAAATGTGCAAATATGCACGTTTGTGCATTAGTATTCATGTGCATGAATACAGATGAGTGCCAACCACCCACAAAAGTGAAAAACTGGCGTTTATTTCTGCATATCTTAGAAATAAAACTGCTCAGTTGTGGAAACCAGGGAGAAAGAAAACCAGATTCCTTGGAATTCATGGTGGATTCCACTGACATCTCTTGGTGAATCTAAAAGAGGACTCTTATGTTCTTCTTTCTTTGCTTCTTAACAGTCCAAGGAGAAGAAGAATAAGGAATGTACCTACAGGCAACTGATGATCCACCTATGATTACTTAGCAGCTCACCTGAGGCCCAGGTGCTGTACCTGGTGCCATCTTCTCTGCTATTGGCCTGCAGAACTACATTGCACTCCCAGGGCAGGTGGGGAGAGAGCAGAATGTGCTACCCCCAGAGTGATACCACCGTGCTGTTGGGGAAGAGAGGGACCCAGTCCTCTTGGTATTACAGCTCTGCAGAATTCTGCACATGGAGTCCCTCCAGCTCAGGGGCAGACTCGCTGGTGTCTTGGATTACAACTCCCACTAGCCCCAGCCTGAATGGCTGGTGGTCACAGATGATGTGAGCTGTAGCTCAAAACATTCTCAAGGACTGCAAGCTGCTCACCTGGCTGAACCTGCAGTACCATCTTCAGCCACTATGTGGCAGGCATCCCTACCCTGCACATAAATGTGTGGTTCATACAGTTTGAAGCCAAGGAATATCGACAGGTGCAAAGTTATACACCTGGCTCCTCGCTCCCACACCACGGGGAAGCCCTTCCCCCTCAGGAGAACGGCATGGGTGGTCCCATCCCGCAGGTGAGTGTAGGGATACACCATGGCAGATGCTCTGCCTAGCAGGCCAGAGGGCGTGCTGTTATTCATCCCACTCCGATGGCTGCGTAGCTTTCCCTGAAAACTCTGCTGTATCAAACGAAGGGTTGTTTCAACCCATGCAACACGAGGTCCATTATTCAGTAAATAAATAAATCCTCATTTATTTATTTACAAGCTGTTGCTGGAAATGAACGCCAAACCCTTTCTGGCCTTGTGTCTGTAAATCATTTTTTGTGGAGCACAAGGCAGAGCAATACCAGCAAATGAAAATAGGCATTCGGCAGGAAAAATGTACAATTGGCCTTATCTCAAAGTGGTTTACAATGATGCAAGTATTGGAAATATGCAACTACAGAGGGAACCCATACGGAGTTCTTAGAATAACCGACCTAAGGAAAGCAGGCATCTCTCCCCTGCACACTGCTTTTGGGGCCATAGGATAAGTCTGAATTCCCAGATCTCCGACGTTGGATCTGGGAATCAGGACTCTGCCTCATCTCACCTGTCCTTTGCCTGCCTTGCCTGCTGGCATGGAAGGAAGATATGCCAGCCGCCTTCCAAAGTTAGGAAAGCAACCGCAGACGGGGGAAAGGGGGTGTTCCAGGGACAGAGGAGGAAGCTGGAGAGTCTAGAACCCTTCTACCTTCTTCCCTCCCACTCCGAAGCGTTCCTGCTAGATGGGCGAAAATGTTTGTCTAGAGAAAAATGCAGGGCGGGAGGGCATGGAAGCAAAGATGACCTCCACGGCTCCCCCCGTTGATGAGCATAAACATTCAAGTAAACTGGGGGCTTCCGGGCATTGCAACAGGATTGCACACAAAATGAGTGTAACTTTGCCAATGCCCCAATTTCTTTTGCATGCTGACCTCTGTGTAGCTTATCTACTCCCAGTATTTTAATCCACTATATTATGGAGCAATTGCGAACTCAGTACATCTCCTTAGACTTCAACTATGCAGGACTCCACTTAACTACCTCCCTTTTTTCCTTCCCTTTTTTTTTTAAGGAACGATTCCTCCACCTACCACTGTGAAAATAATCACTGTGCTTCATTTAAGCACTGCTCAGTTCTCCTACCACACAGAGGCTCCTCATTCCACTTTATCAATTGCAGTCCACCACAGCTGGGACTTTAATTGGGCCGGCTTCAGGGGAAAAGGCAAGAGAAGGGCAGCATTACCCTGGTTTCCCAAGAGTTGCAAAGCCGAGCTTTTCAAAAGGGCCAGTGGCATTCATCAGCCTTACTGGCATATAGGGTGCCCCTTCCCTCAGCATCATCCTTCTCAGGAGGCCAAGTGCACAGTCCACATCTTGTCCTTGCGACAGCCTCATGCAGGGAGCTGGACCGAGGGAGGGCGGTCTGCCCTTGAGGTGCGGTGGGGATCTGATTCCAGGCATCCCAAGCATTTGTCTGATAACCTGGCCTCCCAATCCAACACCTTACTGATTCCCCACCATGCTAACCTCTGTAAGGCAGACCAAGGGAGAGCTGGATGCACTCCATCAAGGAGACCACAGCCTTGAACTGGGATGAGCCAAGCAGGGATGTCACAGGAAGGACCTTTGGAGGGCCTTCCTGAGAAGGGTTGCCAGGA